AGGAACAAAGTTGTTCAATGGCAAATTGCGGCAACAGGAGAGTATCAAAGGCAAGACATCCTAGACAGCAAGGGGTGATGCTATGTGCAAGGCTCTGAAGCTGTACCACCACCCGAGATTCTCAAAATTTGTTGACTCTCATGAGCGTGAAGACAGTAGCCCGATATCATCAGTAGTTACGATAGCCTCCACCGTAGCTCTCATTGCCTCCGTAACCACCGCCGCCTCCATAGCCACCATCACCGCCGTAGCTTCCCTCCTGCCTGTAACCTCCTCCGCCATAACCGCCAGAGGAACCACCGTAGCCTCCGCGGCGTTCATTGTCATCATCATCATCATCGTTAGATCCGCGGCGGCGTCCATGATGCTTTTTCTTATCAGAGTCATCAGAGTCATCACGACGGTAGCGCTGCTGTTTTTCTTCGTCAGAGTCATTTGACTTGCGTCGTCGATGCTTCTTCTCCTCATCCGAATCGTTGGAATCGCGTCGGCGGTGCTCGCTAGAGCCGCCGTAACCACCTCCATAGCCGCCCTCGTTATGGCGCTCATCAGAACCACCGTAACCGCCTCCGTAGCCACCCTGACGCTGCTCGCTACCATAGCCACCACTTTCGTGACGGCGTTCCTCGGAGCGACCATAGCTTTGCTGGGAAGATCCATAGCCCTGGCTGTATGAATCGGCCTCACCACCACCATAGCGGCTCTCCTGACGGCGTTCGGAATGGCGCTCCTCGGAGCCGCCATATCCACCTCCGTAACCACCTTCGTTACGGCGCTCATCAGAGCCACCATAGCCACCTCCGTAACCGCCCTGGCGCTGCTCGCTACTATAGCCACTACTTTCGTGACGGCGTTCCTCGGAGCGACCGTAGCTTTGCTGGGAAGATCCATAGCCTTGGCTGTATGAATCGGCCTCACCGCCACCGTAGCGGCTCTCCTGGCGAGAGTTGTTGTTAAATCCCTGGCTGTAGGATTCAGAGGCGCCTTGTCCATATGAGGAAGTGTTATGTCCTCCGTACGAACTCTGCTGGTAGCTGCTGCCCTGGTTATCATCATCATCATCACGTCGGTTCTTCTTCTTCTTTGTCTCGCCATCGTCACCACCAACACCCAATGCGCTTCCCAGTGCTCCAAGGAAGCCACCGAGCTCGCCGCCGGAGGTGTTCTTACCACCACCGTTGCCGCCGCCCAGTGCTTCAGCAGCACCTGAGATGATCGCTCCAGCTGCGGCACTGGCGATCTTATCTTCCATGGTCTCGGGCTCGCCGTACAGCTTCTGCATCTTCAGCTTGCCGCTGCAGCCGTGGCCATGGCCAGTGTCGTAGACGCCTTCCTTGTGGTTCTCTCCATTCTGGACGCCACGTCGGCTCAGCTTGCGGCGGTAGTCCTGGCGTTGGTCTTCGCCCATCTCGCTCCACCATTCCTGAACGGCTTGGAAGATCTGCTGGCGACCCTCCTGAGCTCCGTCGTCGCCCATCTCACGCTGGGCTGGGTGGTGCATAACTCCGTTGACAATGCGGGTGACCAGTCGGTTCACGTCAACGCTATCATCGTCGATAGCTTCCATGATCTGGGGCACTACCCAAGTAATCATCTTGGCGGCACTTTGACCGGCAATTTCATTCAGGATCTGTTCATTTAACGTTAGCATACACAGAAAAGGGACAGTGAATGGAGGTTGAATGCTCACGTTGGTGAAATGGTCCTTAGACAACATCGAGTGAGTTGGGTCGCTCGAGTCATCGTTATCGAACACAACGTGCTGTTCGGCCTCACTGCTCTCGATGATCTGGTTGGAGCCAGTTGCTAGCTCGTTCTTGATGTTCTGGATGAGGGGAACAACAAATGGGGCAATGAGAGAGAAGACGAATCGCGAAAGCTCCTCTTCCAACTGCTCAATGATCTTAGGGAGCACGGGGATCTTCTCAATGGCAGCAGTAATGCCCTTCATGATCTCATCGTGAAACTCGATGACAGGCAAGACTTGCCCATAAACTTGTTGAATGTAGCGGGTGAACTCCTCTGGTTCTCGAGGAGAAACATTCATGTTCTCCATCTGAGCGTTATTAGCGTTCTCCTGGAGCTGCTCAAGCTTGTCGCTTTCGTGCTTGTCACCAAAGATACCATCGGGAATCTTGTCAAGGAGATCCTTGAGAAGGCTGGTATCGGACTTGGCACTTTCCTGGAGAGTTCCCTCCAGTTCGTCGATTTCATTCTGTGTCAACTTGTCGGATACTATTGTTGTGTCAGAATTGGCGCATTCAAAAAGCATCATGCATCCTCCACTCACCTTCACCAGTCACACTGTGGAGGAAATCAACACCACCAAATGTACCCCTATAGAAGTCAGAAACCGCGATGATGCGGTGGCTGTAGTTGCACTTACGTAACGATTGGGTAGACCTGGCCGCGAGCTCCCTGAAGTCTGATCTGGGTACCGCTACCAACATGGGGAAAGACATCACGCTCACCGAGTTCAATGAGTGCGAGCTCCACGTAGTTGCTATGGGCGTAGAAATCTAAGAAAGGGAAATTAGAACGGGTCATTGGAGGTTAAAGACAACGATTGGAGGCCGTTGATGGGCTGTTGAATAACCTACCTTCAAGACAGTGGAGGGCCGTTCCAAGCAAGCGAAGGGACTCATGCAAATCTCTCTTATTGTTGTTGTCCTTGTAGCGGCGGCCCTTCTCAACACATCCACCAATTAGTCTTCGAAGAAGGTCTGCAGAAGTCATAATGCCAATGCGTTCGTTGGCAATGTAGTTCTTCATGCCGGTTTCCTCGTCGACGGCCAGCTCGGTCTCTTCATCGATGGGGCCTCGGAGTCTTCTGTCATAGTCGCGAGCGTCTACGCCTTCGCCGTATCCCTTGGGGTTATCAATGTGTTCCTCGGGTCGGTAGCATCCGAGCCTCTCGGCCGTGATTTCGAATTCGCCAGAACCGTAACCGAAGGTCATGAAGCCGAGAACACAAAGCAGGAGACGGATAGCCTCGGCGGAAACAGCCTTGACCGTTCCCACATCGATGGCCTGAGAGTAGTCGCGGCACCAGTTACCCAGGTAGGTCTGCTTGATCATGAGCTTGCTGAACTTCTTGCCTCGGTTGTAGGCGTGCGCAGCGGCAAGGCTGAGCAAGACATCCTCGATATCACCATGTCGCCCTAAATGCCCAATGCGTTAGCTGTATCCATGCTGCCACCATTAGGATCAGTCAGTAGCATACAATTCTTTCCTTCCACCTTGGAGATGGAAGCGATGTTTCCAGCTCCAAACGCCGCCGCCGGGGCAGCCCACCACACCAACGAGAGGAGCAGAGCCAAGCGGAGCATAATACCCAGAGTGCTCTAATATTCCAGCCGCTATATTTTCAAGACTGTTCGATGAAGCTTTGATGAGATTTGATTGATCTCTTGTTCTGTAAGGAAGAAGAAGAGGAGGATGTGAGGAGGATAAGAACCAGGTGAGGGTGGTGGGGTGAAAGCTGAGAGCAGTACGCCGCCTGCGCGCAAAGGAGGGGCAAAGCAAAGCAAGCTTGTATTAATTTAACTAACGGTGACGTTTTTCTCCCCGCCCCGTCCCTCCTCTCTCTTGTAGGGAGTACCTAAGCTCGACTGCTCCCCAAAAGCACAACGGCCCGTATCCAGCACTCAGCTACACAGGCACCGGTGGGTCGCTTTCATAGTTCGCATAAAGTACAGTAATAACTATCGTGCTCAGCGCTGTTTCAAGAGCAATATGCCCGCGACATGCTCAATGCGCGTGGATGACCTACGATGGATACCTTGCGAAAGCGATCTACATGGTGCGTCTTGAGAGCGGCTAAGAAGGCAGCGTAGCGCATCAGTATCAATCCCCCTCGCCGCCCGTCTGAAGTTGGCGTGAAACGGGAGGGGAAGACCCCTGGGTCTCCCACCTTGCAAGGTAAGGGTACTTGAAACAATTGGGTGAGGTGCTGTCTCACAGGCATGCTGCTAAATTCCTGCCCGGCCAATCAGCCGACTATTCGCGTCCCTTTGGGCTTCTAAGCGCTGGAGCTGGAAGGAGGGGCACCTTGCACAGCTGAGGTTCAATGCAGTGCACCTGTTTTAACTTGCACTGCCTCAAAACCATCGAAACCGCGGCCACGGTCCTACCTCGTGGTGATCTCAATTGTCTGATAAGAAGAGCCTGTGGATGCATGTCGTTCGTATGGTCCACGGTCGGTAATGGGCTGCAGCATAGACAAGGCAAGCGAGTGGTCTGAGCCAGTGATACTGGGTACAGAGCGCTCGTACTTGTGGGGTGCCATGGAAGTGGCTAAAATAAAACATGGCACACCAAAGCCTCAGATTTCGACACATTATCAAAACAATTAACCCAGTTATCAATACAATATCAAGCTAAATAATATAGAATGATTTATTATTTACTTTTTTTTTTTTTTGTTTGAAATGCTATTCATAAGAGAACGATGTCTCTAGCTTGCACGAAAAGAGCTCTGGTTGTAAATGTTAAAAATGCTTGCTGGGATATATCCTGGTGTCGATGTTCTTAATACCCCTTTCCCAAAGAACTGTACCAAAGACTGGAAAAATAAATATTAAGAATAGATATGAGTCTATATCTGCAAATTTTTGCCCTCTGTATATAGCTAAATTATTCCTCAGATCGTAGATCAAGTCTGTTGTTTAAGGCATGGAGTTGGGCGGTTTACAAGCCAGACTGGCCTAATTGTTGTTCCATAGATAGAATCGTATCGATCAATATAGTATTGGTCTTATTCTGTGTTGATAGTTTGCGCTTTAGCGTATCGATGTTGAGTGTATCGATCATATGCTTTCTCTTGAGGTAATTGTGATCCTTCTCTGTTTCTAGAAGGCGTTCCTCAAAGCATGCCTGAGTAGGAGCGAGAGACTGTCGGATTTTAATTATTTTGAGGTCAAAATCCCCGTCCACACACTGTAGAGCGGCGATTTGCTGTTGGATTTCAGATATTGTACCACTGGGTGTGTTGCCTGTATTTAAAGATTCTCCATTGCCATGATCCAGTAGACCGTGAGAGCCGTTCGATGGTTGAATACAAGAATCAGCCGGGCTGTCTCTTCGGCCATGGCCAGCATCAGTGGTGGGTTTCTCGAGCTTAGCGACCTTTCTGTGATTTTGCTTAATAGATCATGGAGATCTGTCGCGGAATCGGCTTGTTCTTTCCGTGTGAATTGAACATCAGTTTGGATATCCGCCCGCCAAATACCGACAGCTCGTTTATCATGTACCGACAGCTCATTTATCATGTACCGACAGCTCGTTTGTTCTGTTCCGACAGCCCGTTTGTCATGTTCCGACAGCTCGTTTTCAAGCCGGGTGATATCAATCTTAATGGCGTTGAGTTGATCTTTAACAACTTGATGAAACTCGATGTCCCCCTGTACAGCCGAGTTCTCGTCTCCGTCCATTGGTTAAAGTAGATCATCCGGCAGTTCTGGCGTAGATACCCTGGTATTTACAGCTACCTTGCTGTCGTGCTGCTCAAATTCCGGCTCTAGTTCTCTCAGCGCATTGATTAATACCGTCTCTGGAGAATATGCCGTGTGGTATGATGACTCGCGACTCGAGTTTTGACTCGATGTACTATCGGGCAGGGGCTCTGATGTTGCGTCTTGAGAGTGAAAAGACCCCTCGCTCTTGGGAGGCTGAACAGTAGTAGATAGGTAGTACGAGTCTACACTGAGGCTTATGGACATGTACTTGAGGTTGTTCGTTCCATTGCTTGTACGGATACCAGTTCCACTCTTTCCGTCCATTTCCCTCTTCGCCCTGGGTCGGACTGCACCTCCAGGTATCCCAGGGTAGACTCGACGATGGTCGGCCCAAAATTGAAGCCGGTCATTGTCGGGATACTGTGTCAAAAGGAAATGGCCCAGAGCCAATGTCCGGTTCTTGTACTTCAGATTCGCAGCCCGCCAGAGTTGAGACGGGCATGGGCTCGTCAGCGTCTCGCCAGACTGTCGATATACTCGAGAGATGATGAAATAGTGCCTTATTTCCTTTTGGTCGTTCTCTGCCCATGATCGGCCTTCACGAAGATATACTAAGTATATCTTCCATGCGGCAGATCCGTTATGGTCATCATCGTTTGCGTTGTTGATCTCTGCCCATTGGACCTAAGGCAGATCTGTGTTCGCAGGAGGGCTTAAAGACCTGATTGGTGGTAGGGTATCCATCCGAGCGTTCTTATCCAGTGATGATAAATGATAATAGAGGAACAAGGAAGATGGAAGTTAGATATTATCTTGAATGCAGGCTTGTACGATGCTGAGTTTGCTTGTATGGGGTGTGCAGGAGGGAGATGTAGAAGTTACTGGTGATGCGCTGTGCTGAGCAGTTGTAACTTTATTTCTCGAGAACTCAGGCGTAATCTCCTGCAAGTTGCGGAGCTTGGAAAAATGAGACACACAATAGAAGGGTTGGCTATCAATCGACCACTTTCTGCAATAATTAGAGAAGAAAGGAACAATAAATACAGTATTGTATATTATTGGGACTCAATAATATGATAATACCGGTCGCAGACTTGAGAATAAGCAGCTTAATGTTTGAGTGTCTCAATTTCAATGTCACCCACTTAGGTAAGTAGGTGAGCAGTATGAAGTTACCCTAGGCTCACTACCCTATAGCATGCAAGTCCGAATCAGTCGTCTCGTACCCGGGAGTTGGGCTTGCATTTCGCGCTTTAGTCTAGATTCGACCGCTGAATGTTATTTAATGTGGAAGAAACACTGTTGAAAAGTTTTGACATAAAATCTCAACATGTCATACTGATGTCTCTCGATATGAGCAGATTAAACCGCGATCAGTAACGAAAATAATAATGTGAGCTGGGTTGGGTGCGCACACACGCACCGGTGGGGTCACAGGAGGGGTTGGGTTCTCGAGTGTCAGGTGCAGCTCGTAGGTGCCTTAGCCTAAAAACTGCCACCCGTGCTCAGATCTACACCCTCAAGGCTGCTGCCATCAGAACAGGGTGGTGCGAGAACAACGACTGGTTTTACGATTGATGCTGCTTTCGCTTTGATACGTATATCACGTACGAAAATACTGGTAGCCTAGTGGACTGCACACTTGCGGATGAGTAACGGGAAGGAACTGGGCTCGAATGTGTGGCTGCAGACGAAACCCGACCATTGTACGACACGCGCTGTGTACGCTCTGAAGAAGAAGTGCAAGGCTGGGTGAGGCAACTGTTTTCGTGGTTACAGTAGACCCGAGGCAGGTACGAGGGCGCTGATGTGATGAAATGGAAAGCGCTGTACTGCAATAGACCTCTGCTAGCTTGGGGCAGTCCAGCGGTTCTAGGGGCGACCTGAATTATAGCATCCAACCACTGCAGCTGCGTGGTACGCGATGCCAACAACAGGCCCTCGAAATCGGGCAGTGAGGGAGCAATGTGGGCGTCGCGCCGTTTGTGGTGGGCGGCAGAGCGCTGGCCAAAATGTACCTTTGTGGTGCCTGCTGGAACAGCGAGCAAATCACGGGGCAGAATTTTCCCCTCGCCTGTAGGTGTGATTTGATTTAATTTTTCTTCCGGAGGGGGCAACAGGGCACTGCAGCTGCCGCTGCAGCCCACACTGCCTGATGGTGGGCTGCCTTGAGTGATTGCGCGCGTCCGCCACGCTACATTAATTGCTGTCAACCCCCCAAATTTCTCACCCCGAACGTTCAGCACTTCTCCCCCCGCAACACTCACCTTCAGCACTTCTTCAGCACTTCATCATCACTGTTCATAGCCCCAAACACTGCGCACAGAAGATTCCTAGCACCCTCACTCAAAGCTCAAGTCAAGCAGCCTAGCACCTTGCGCTTTACTGCCAGCTAGCGGCCGCAAGATTCCAAAACGCTCGCTGCAACGCGCCCATCACCACTGACCACTCAGTCCATTAATCGGCTGGCTTTCGTGGAACGCGTTACCACCTGCAGCTCGCCACCTAAGACCGCCGTTCATCTCAGCAGAGACCACTCTAGCTAGCCAGCTCCTACGGCCAGCGCAACACCATACATGATGCCTCGTCCATCCAAGAAGCAGCAGGCTGAGAATAGAGCTCCAGTCCCTGTTCCCGCGCAACCTCAACAGCACATGATCCCCCAGGTCCCCCAGCCCCAGGGCATTCCTCTGCAGATGCAGCAGCCACTCCCTCACCAGGGACAGCTTGCTGTTGGTGCGCCGCCTCCCCAGGTGCACGGCCGTGTCGTCGACAATGAGAGCTTCCTGCGAGTTCGTGACTCTGTAAGTAACCCAGATTTCATTTTCAATCACATTTCCTCGCCCGTTCATTGCGACCGCTGCACCCCGCCGTTTATGCAAGACCGCGCTCTGGGCCTATGAGAGCTTTACTGGCTTGTCAATAAGTGTCAGGTGTGAGCTGTGTATCTGAGAGCTCTCTTCCTAGCACACGCGCTGGGGCTACTCGAGTGAGTACCTGAGAGTTCGAATGCCACAACTCGAGTCCGAGCTAAGATGCGCGCGCGTGCTATGCGTTCTCGAGTCTTGTTGCACTATTTCCGTGCTGAGGCAGGTTGGGACCTTTTCCCATTTCTGTTTGGTGCACGACTTGGAAACGCGCTTTGCAGGCCGCTGCCTTCTTTGTTTATCTTTTGCTTCCGCGTGTTGCTCTTCTTGGAGCTTGTGTGGGTAGCTCTGATCTGGCCCCACCCACGGCGCCTACCTTCTACCTCCCTCACCACACCCCTGCCACTGGCCTTCAGTGGTCTCTTGCAGGTCTCTTAGTCGTTTCGACCACATCAATGTCGCATATCTTGTATCATCATCATCGATACTAACAATATCACAGGCCGTTGGTCGTCTGACTACCATCTTGGAGCTGCTGCGCTCGTTCACCTCAGACTACATTCGCCAGACCAACCTGCTCCTTGGCGAGCCCACTGCTGAGGGCGCCCAGGGCGATATCCTGGCTACTTTTGAGAATGCCACCTCCCAGCTCATTCCTCTCGTTCAGGGCGAGCTCGGCGCACCCATTGAGGAGAAGAAGGAGCGCAAGAAGCGAACTCATGACCCCAATGCCCCTAAGCGCCCCTTGACCCCTTACTTCCTCTACATGCAACATGCCCGCTCCATCATTGCCAACGATCTCGGCCCTGAGGCACCAAAGGGAGCTGTCCAGGAAGAAGGTCAGCGACGATGGGCCCAGATGGGTCCCCAGGAGAAGCAGGGATGGAACAACGCCTACCAGTACAACCTTCGCCTCTACAATGCCAGAGTCCACTCCTACAAGCACGGCAACCCTCTGGCCAAGGGCATGGATGATACTGAGGCCTTGAAGTACGCTGATGAGAACCACATCCCTCTCCCTGAGCTCAAGGAGGCTCAGGCTCAGCCCGATGCTGGACCCAATGACCAGGACGCCATTGCCGAGCAGCTCCAGCAGGTCGCCGCCGCCCCTGCTGTCGAGGAAGAGCTCGATTCCAAGACCCCCAAGAAGGGCGGTGCTCGTAAGCGCAAGACCGGCGAGCCCATTCTTGCTCCCGATGCCACCCCTATCGCCACTCCTGCCAGCCCCGACAAGAAGCGCAGAAGAACTTCTGGCAAGGTCGCCGAAATCCAAGAAGAACCCAAGAAGTCAGGACGCAAGAAGACTAAGAGCTCTTAGCTGTCTTCTGGGACCTTCTTTTTCTGTTTTTGGCTCACCGCCGGCTTTTCCCGCATGGCGGGTTGGAGTCCTTCCTTGATTGTTTCCTTTGACTTCTCATTGATGCCCTCGGTTATTGATTGCACGAAAGGATACCACTTCAGTTCCTGAGCTTTGTTTTATAAAAAGAGAACCGTGCGTCGCCTCGTTGAGGTGTCGACGGAATACCTTTCAGTATCTGTATGAGAGTAACAGACGAGTGGGAGGGTGTTATCACCCATGAACCGGTAGTTGGAATGGTGCAAACGGATCTTTTCTTTGCGGTGGTTTTGTTGGTTTTTTGCGTTTATGACTGTACTAGGTTGTCATTGAACAACTTTCTTTTTCACTTATTTACGAGGGCGATGATGTTTCAATTCAAAGTTGCTATTCAAAGATATCTTGCTTGCCCTATGTGACATGTTAATTCTCATAGCTCATAGAGATTTCGATTGAAGCACCATAGATCGCGTCATTTCCCAGATGGCTGATGATATTTGCTCACGGTGTCAGCCTTCAATAGCAGCGCTGGCTCCCGCAGTCCCGTCTGGCTAACGTTAGTAGACGAACCAGGGCTGCGAGAGCGGAAGCGTCTCCGCGGGCGCCGCCTCGCATACCACACCGTCCGCCTCGACCGTGTAGCTCTCCGGGTCGACCCTCATGCGAGGCATGGTGTCGTTGTACTTCATGTCCGCCTTGCCGATGCCGCGGCACCCCCTCACGGCCTCGACGCGCTTGCGCAGGCCGTACGACGCGATGGCGCCCGAGTCGATGGACGACGCGGACACGAAGAGCACGCTCGTCTGGGGCACGAACGGCGCGAACATGGGCCGCGCGATGATGGGCTCGATTGTCGGGATGGAGGCGTTCGGGTCGCCCTATAGTATCCTGTTAGCAAATATGTGTTGAGCGGAAGAGAGATGGGGGGGATGCTACTGTACCATTTGGGCGGACGCGATGAGGCCGCTCTTGATGACGAGCGAGGGCTTGGTCCCGAACCAGGCGGGATCCCAGACGACCAGGTCGGCGAGCTTGCCGACCTCGATGCTACCCACGAGATGGCCGAACCCTTGCGCGAGGGCGGGGTTGATGGTGTACTTGCTCACGTACCTCTTCACCCTGAAGTTGTCCGCGCCGGTGCCCTCGTCCTCGCTGAGCGTGCCGCGCTGGATCTTGTTCTTGTGGGCTGTGTTCCACGTGCGGAGGATGACCTCGCCGCAGCGGCCCATGGCCTGCGAGTCGGAGCTCATCATGCTGATGGCGCCGAGGTCATGGAGCACGTCCTCGGCGGCGATGGTCTCGGCGCGGATCCTGCTCTCCGCGAACGCGACGTCCTCGGGGATGTTCTTGGACAGGTGGTGGCAGACCATGAGCATGTCGAGGTGCTCGTCTAGGGTGTTGCGGGTGAAGGGACGCGTCGGGTTCGTGGACGAGGGGAGCACGTTGGGATGCTCGACAACAGAGATGATATCCGGGGCGTGGCCGCCGCCAGCGCCCTCGGTGTGGTAGGTGTGGATGGTGCGGTTCTTGAAGGCCTCGATGGTGGATTCCACGAAACCAGACTCGTTGAGAGTGTCCGTATGAATTAGGCATTGCACGTCGAGTTCGTCACAGACCGACAGGCAAGAATCGATGGCAGCCGGTGTGCTGCCCCAGTCCTCATGCAACTTGAGACCACAGGCGCCGGCGCGGACCTGTTCTCGCAGGGCGTCAGGAGCACTGTCGTTGCCCTTACCCGTGATGCCAATGTTGAGAGGCAGCTCGTCGCAAGCCTGAAGCATCTGGCGCATATAGTTCTTGCCAGGAGTGCACGTCGTTGCGCTTGTACCGGCACTTGATTTGCGAGTCATTAGCAGCCTGGTCATTGTTAATGGAACATGAGTTTCTCTCACCTTGGACCGACACCACCTCCCAGCATTGTGGTGATTCCAGACGCAAGAGACTCGTGCGCCTGTTGCGGGCAAATGAAGTGAATGTGAGTATCAATACCACCAGCGGTGATGATCTTGCCCTCGCCTGCCACGACGTCAGTGCAGCTGCCGACGATCATGTTTGGAGTGACGCCGTCCATAACATCCGGGTTACCAGCCTTTCCAATCCCCACGATGAGCCCGTCCTTGACACCGATATCCGCCTTATAGATACCGGACCAGTCCACGATCAGGGCGTTCGTCACAACCATATCCAACGACTCGGCATCCGGCCGCCCGGTTGCCTGGCCCATACCCTCGCGAAGCGTCTTGCCGCCTCCAAACTTGCATTCGTCGCCATACACAGTCATGTCCCTTTCAACCTTGAGCCAGAGATCCGTGTTGCCCAGACGGACCACGTCGCCAGTGGTAGGCCCAAACATGGTCGCATAGGCGCCGCGCTCCATCTCGAACACGCTGATGTGGGCGGCGTCGCCCGCAGGCTCCGGCGCATGCGCGAATCCGGCCTGCTGGAGCTTGGCCACGATATCGTCCACGCGCCAGAGCTCCACGAGGCCGGTCGCCATGTTGTTGCCGCCGCGGATGACCTTGTTGCCGCCAATCTCCACCAGCGTGACGGTCTTGGTGTCGCCGGGCTCGAAGCGGACGGACGTGCCCGCCGGGATGTCCAGCCTGTACCCGTACGCCCTGGCGCGGTCGAACTCGAGCTGGGGGTTCGTCTCGATGAAGTGGTAGTGCGAGCCGACCTGGATTGGGCGGTCTCCCCTGCTCGTCACCCTCAGCTTGATGCGGTTCCGATTCTGGTTGAGGGCGACCTTGGCCTTTACACAGACCACAGCGCCGGGCTGGTTGGTGTGCTCATACTCTGACGCGAGAGGGAGCTGGAACAGGTCGTTGCTTGGGACGGGCAGGAAGCTCCCGTACAATGCACGGTTCAAGTCGCCGTCATCTGTGCTGATAGGGTTGTGGACAGTGACAAGGTAGGTGCCGGTGGGAAAGGTGCCCTCGACCTGGATCTCATGAAGGGTGCTGCAGACCGTGGGGAGGACATGGCGGCGGCCGAGCATGGTAGAGCCCAGGGCCATGAGGTCAGCCACGGTGTGGTTGCCATCGCGGATGAGCTCCTGGAGATTGCTGGCGATGAGAGCCTGTAATGAGGGATCTCTTCTCAGTCTGGGTCCAAATGTGGTGTATGTGAATGGGTATGTATTACCGTAGCCTCGGAATGATTGAGCTTCACACCCCGAGCCAATCTCCTCTGGGCGAGGAAGCCCAATTGAGAGATGGCGAGCTTGTCGAGCTGCCGTGATGTTAGCTCCCCTACTCGCACTCATACGCAATCTACCGTCACACCGGTCGTGAAGGTGGACTGGGGTCATTGCGGGGTGTTTGGTGGTACGGACGAACCTCTCGTGGGACTAAACGCATGGCTGCGCGGTGTCTTATCGATTGGAAGCAATTAGGTGATTCTCCAATAGTAGAACAGCATCCACGTAGCAAATATTGAAGATAGGTGCACCTGGGGTAGAAGAAGCGAAGGTAGAAATAGGCTCAGAGCCGGATAGCCAGGACGTTCGCCAGATAACGCAGGCTGGCATGGAGCCGCTGATAAGGTTATGTAGGTACTTACCAAGGCATTTACTTAATGGCAACCGCCAGCAGCTAAAATATGATAGATACCTGCCACTGAACCACACCTCAATCGGTGCTTCCCATAGCCCGAGACACCTTTCATCAATCATTGGAGATGCTACAGTTGGGTCCACCAATGCGCAGGTAGGTGTTGTTTCGTGAGAACACATCATATTAGCATTAATGATTGGGCTTGTAGTTGGTCTTACCTTCAAGATCAACTCCACGGCTGCTCCAATTGAGTATAGACGAATAGAAATACAAATTGGGAGACAAGATCACGAAGGGTGCGGGTGTGGTGCCCAGTCCAAGGTAATCGAGTGTGTCAAGAGTCCCAAAATGGAGCTGTTGGCCCGAATCATGCATGTTGATCAGCTCTGCAATCCAAGGTACCAAAGGTTCGATTCACGCTACGGGCAATCAGAACCACGAGAGTAATTGGGGTGATGTGTGGCAAGATGTGCTATGTACCATTGTGGAGGCTATCAACGAATATAACGTTAATATCAAGCTCGAATATCAATCAATCCCATTGCGCCTGGTATGCAATGCAGTCTTCCTCCAACGCCTGGCTAAAGCCTCGAGAAAAACAAACGCCCAAATTAGCTTACTCCATGGTCATCGCATCATTCTTCCTCGACCTCCTCATCCCATTGCTCCTTTTCCCTCTTGATGAGTTCTGCGACCTCATTCGGCTTGAAGATGGAACTATCTGGGTCTTCGGTTCTGGGGACCTTGCGGACCGTCTCATCCGTGAACACAGAACCAATAGTGTTGATCCACCTCTTGCGGCGTTCCATCAACGTCTTCGTCAGATCACCAATACCAGGTCGCGCAGTGCCTGCTGCTCCTGATCCCACAAAATGACTGCCGCCTCCTGCACCTCCAGGACGCTTGGTCTTCTTGTTCTTCCCCATTGTCCGTGTGCGCTTTGTGTATGCAGCTTGGACTTGGTTGTCAAGATCTTCCAGGATGGTCGAATATTCTTGATGTGCCATACGCTCTCGAACAAGCTCCGTGAGTTTCGCCTTGCGCGCTCCGTTGATCAGCATTTGATCCTTGAGTCGCGCCTGTAGCAGTCGAAGCCTTCCAGCTACTTCGTCATCGAATGCCCCGTCGTAGTCGCCATCAAATCCCTCCTGCGGAAGGAATCCAATATATTTCAGCTCCTGCTTAAGACGTTCCTCGACTTGAGGATACTCAAGTTTGGGATGCGTGGCTTTCTTCCAAGCTTCTGTTGATGACTCGGGCATGTAGGTTGCGGGAGGCAGAGGATTTGATTTGTCGTCCCCGTTCTGATCATCCCCGTTGACATCGCCATTCATGGAAACATCGCCATTAGTGACGCCATTGGTTGTTGGCTTCTCGTCGGTTTGCGTCCTGTTTTCTGGCCGTAGAGCTTGCAACAATCTCGATGCCAAAGGTCCAATGGATAGCCCATCGGTTTCGGCCACGCTATCGTTCATGTTCTCGATATTCCCACGAGGTTGGTTGAAGGGCATCTTCTCTCGCCCTTGCTGAGGGGAGTCTATAGCCATCGCTCCTTCATCCTCTGCTGCCCACACTTCCGTGTAGTGCCTTTTGCCTCTATTAGGCATTACAAAAGGCGTTACGCGGTCACCTCTCTCACGCAAGAAACCCAAATCTTCTTCCCCGAATGGTCGGAAAAAGGGTTCAATGTAAGTCGAGAAGGTTGAGAAATTGATCTGACTGGTCGGCTTCGCAGCGCTGAAATCTTTATCCGGCGGATCACCCGCGATCAAATCGGCAAGATTACTACGGGGGTAGACGGCCACGGAGAAGATCTCCTTCTTCTCCTCTTCTGACATGCCAGAATGCACATCTCGAATCTCGTAAATGGTGGGATCGGGAAAGGTTGAGGGGTCGTCTCCGAATGTCTGCGCCTGGGGCATCTCTCGTCTCGGAGGTGCGCCTTCGTCATCATCTGAACTTGAAGATTCCTCGTTCTCTTCCTTCTTAGGTTTCTCATCAACCTCCATGGCTGATGGCGACTTTGCTGCAACTGGCGAAAGTGATGAACTCGCAGAATCATTGCCACGGGAATTTTTGCCCTTGGAAACGGGCGATGAGCGGCCTGAACAAGTTGATCTACAATTAGTAAAGGGTGTCTTTCCATCGTACTGATTCGTTGTTTACGGAGGGGAGCCGAGTCTACAGTAGACCTGTTATGGAAGCTTACCTTGGCTATTTCCATCGGTGGGTGGTGCTAGGGTATCGGAATTCCGGTTCCGGTTCTTCTTGGGATTTTTGGGGCGCTTCCCAGTATCGTGGTCGTCCGCGGCGTAGTCATCGGGTCGTTTTTTACGCTCGTCTGCGAGGAATCTCATGCCTCTGTCGTAGAAACTGGATCGTTTTTCCATGACATCTACCAAGTCCTTGAGCTTAGCAAGCATGGCATCGACGCTTCGGGAATCCGGAACGGTGACATTCGACATGTTGGCATCAATTAAATCATCGTAACTAAGAGCATTCTGGAACAGAATAACCCTCGCGTTGAGGAAGTCGGGGTCGTAAGCTTCCTGCGCTGGAAGGCTCGCCGTTGGTGGCGGTACCGGGGTCGACGTTCGACTTTGTTTCTGCATGGCCGCGGCATTCTTCTTGCCGGTGCCTTTTTGGCCGGAACCTAAAGGCATGTGGGGCCAAGTCTATCACCAGAGCTCTGGTGTAACGTATAGCAGAGTCGGTTTCTGAGGGAAGGCGTGTATGAAATGGTCTTTTGTTGACATCGGAAGGGGAAGCAACTGTTGGCGACTGAATGCGCGCGCGTGGGCTTGCGACTAGCTGTTGGCTCGTGCGATGACGATGACGGGTCCGGAGCCGGTTTAATGATTATCCGCAGGCTATCAATCTTCTGCGTCTCGTCTCACTACCTTCCGTGGCATGGGAAAAATGAAAGTGGAGGTTGAAATGGCCTGGGAAATTTCAAAACTACGGCTGAATACTTATTCTGTCGTATCGTGTGTTGTGATGGTAATGTGAATGTTCTTTCGATTTTGGTGTCGCAACGTCATTCTGCATCTAGATGCAGCTTAAACGGTTATGATCGTTGGTGGCTTGGTTCGTGTTACAACAGTGTTTATTTTCGCCTCAGTTCATTCAGTGGCCATTGTTTAAATCGCTATGCCTTTTAAGGAGGTCGCTGTACGACCTGTCAGTATGGAAATACGGTCCGGCATCGTTTGGTGTATCACAGTGACGTGCAGTGTGGCATGTGTTGTGGGTGTGAGAGCACTGCTGTGCAGTATGTAACGGTTGGTGGAGCGGCAACCTTTTTTTAAGCGTCTACCTTACCTTTATATTGATCCATTGGTTAGCTTTTCGGTCAACTTTTGCTCCTTGCGTGAAAGAGGAAATAATAGACAGGCATGGTTCTGCGCTCGCTATTGTAATTGCAATTTGTTGCCGGGAGACTTTGCAGGTAGCCCCACGCCGATTTACAGTGGTCGCTTCGGGGCAGTTGGGCCAGCCAAGTCCGATATATTCGTCGGTCATACGCCGAGTGAGCCGAGCAGTGCATGGGGCCGATGCCCCTCCCCCCGTGCCGGCAGGTCGAGCCGATCCAGGAGGAGGACATACTTCCTGTTTGGATAGGATTTGTCCTGATCAATGCTGGGAAGAATTGAAGTACGCTGTGACAAGTCACATAAAGAAACTCTATTTGATGCTTGGGCACCTGGCTCGAACATTCTTGACTTGCAGGCTTGTGAGCTATTGGGAAGCAGCTCGGGATAGCGGGCGAATCATCTCAAGCTAAGAGCGTGCTTTTAGCCCTGCAGCTTAGGGAGGAATGGAAGCAAAACACAACAAATGGAGCAATGCACGATGGAACTAGGCAGAACAGAACGGAACGCTATGGTGTCGCCAGCGACTCGCACAGGGAAGGACGAGTGGCAAGGCAGAGTGGATGAGACGGGGCCAGTTTAAGCGAGTGATGTTTTTGTAATTACGTCCGGCAAGGAGCTGCTCAACAAGTTGCTTTGGAAGTAAACAAGTCCATCGAAATGCAACGGTAGGAGATGTACATTGGAGCGCTAGGAAGATCTCGGGGGTTGGCCACTCATGCGTACGTTCACGAATAATATGGAGTACGTGTCATCAAAGAGAAGAGCTCTTGTGAGGGTCTTGATTTGGGTCGTATCAATTCTTCATTAGCGTGCCTTGAAGCAGTATCAGCATCGATTTCGGTTCCACTGCCTTAGGTAGAGCTGCGTGGCATCCATGTACACCCGACGCCTTATGTACTAGGTCGATGATTGGAGGAGAGAGCTGGATGCGCTGAAAATTGAGCACGCGGACAGCTGCCTCTCAGGAGTTTCTGTCTGGTTCTAGGCGTATAGGCAACGTCAATTCGAACCCCCTCCTCTTATCAGGCACGCGCCTCAGACTTTTTATTTTACATCCCTCACAGGGCTGCGTATTCAGTACATGTGCTACGCTGGACGCATCCTATTGGGACCCTGGAGCTCGTGAGGGTCTCCCCTTAGCAGGCTCTAGGCTCTGGCCGGGCCTGCTGGAGGGAGCTACGCTGAGCTGGAGGGGCGGCGGTGGAGGCGCTAGCGTGCCATGATGCGCTAAATTATGGAGAGAGCTCTGGAGGGCCCTGCGTTTCCAACTGCTGTGCACCCTGGAAGCTGCTTGCCCCGGCCCCTCGTCTCCATAACTGCGGCGAGACAGCGCTGTCCCAACATTTTCTCTAGAATTAGCAGCAATCACATGTTATTGTTGTGCAACAACCTAGAGCTTCTGCGCTGGGCTCGTCCAATGCGCAGCTTCCA